TTAACCATTGATGCCTGAAGGCACGCTGATAACATCGTTCAGTCTGCGTGTTCTCATAAGTTGATTCTTCGACCGAGTTTGTAGCGTTTCAGTTAACAAACAAATAATAATGATGAAAAGCTTGTAAAAGTGTTTGAAACAATAAACATTAATGTGTAATATGTGACATGACCGAAGTAGTAGTTTCTCTTAGTAGTTTACAGCATTATGAACTTCTTGAGAGTTAACAACTACACATTTTGTCGAGGAAGAATTTTGATAAGTGTATTGCGATAAACGCATTCGACATGGCTTGAAAACAATAAAGTGTTTTTAAATAATCATGACGACAGAAAATTTTCTGGCCTCGCCATTTGCACACAAAATTACTATGATAGCATCTAGAAGCGTTTGAAAGAGCACCTAAATATGGATAAAAGTAAGTTGCTCATTCACTGTAATATATTCGCTGTCCTAGATCTAGATATAAGTTCATTTAAAACATAAACATTCAACGTCATTACTTTAAAAAAACAAAACCTCACTCTTTTTAATGATCTACTTTGATTTTGGCATAAGTATCTACTATCTCGTTATGTCTACATGCGGATCATTGGGGCAATTCATTAAAAACTGACATACCGACTCACACATAATGTCCAGCTCCTATATGTTTTGTGAGATGAACGTTGTTTCTACATGTCCCAGATACACATGGCCGGATTTCTTCATGGTATATGTTCGCGTATCTGTCTCAGACCCTAGGACGTAGCCGGCACCACAGAAACTTTATGAAGAGCCCACAACAACAGACAACAGACTAGTTATCGCCTGCTCAATTCGCGCAGCCCAACTGCGCTACTTACTACCGCAACAACTAATCAAAAAAGTCCGCTGTAAATATAAAATACGAAGAGCAATTTTTCTTATATTCAATAATGAGAGTAGTTCTTATTAATTTAGACCTACAACAGAGCTCTCCTAACATTTTGCTCGGCACGTAAAATAAGTGTAAAAAAGATGTATTAATAAAAGTTAAATTATTGTTGTGCACAAAATATCAAAATGAAAAATTACACGCAAAATACTACACCCCGTTACAGGCACACAAACTGATACAAAATTTTTATGACTTTGAAAATTAAGTTAACTATATTGCTCACCACACACACAATAAATATAGGCCGGGTTTTGCACGATGGCTTCCCCTTTTTTCTCATAATAATTAATAGCCAAAAGTAATTTTCTGTGTATTGGAGATTTATCTTGCTTCATCCTATTACATCCTCGCAGACAAAATTGACATTTTAACAACATTAATAACTGATTCACATATCAAAAAGAACATATTTTCCTTTCGTATAGTTGATAATCTTTACTACTAAATTATTTGTTTCAGCAAAACTGACATTATTCGCATAATGAGAATAGTAATATGACAATTTACTTGAAACTCGAGGATTAGCACCAAACCCGAATTGTTTAAATGCATCAAAAGCTTCACTTTATAATCAATACAGCGAGCCTTAAATAACTAGTTACAAAAGATAATCCCACCTATCCCGCCAGAACACTATAGCAACAGAATTCACAAAAAGAGATCACATCTCATATTGAAACGCAATTATATACAGCACCTTACGTGCAACAATAGTAATAAAACTGACTTTCCTTTCCTTTATTTATTTTTATTTTTTTTATGGTGCTCTATTTTTATTTTTGGTGTGTGTTGGTTTTTTTTTTTTTTTTTTTTCAAATATTCTTCTAGTTATTATGGTAACATATTTAATTAAAATATCCATTTTCGTATTTATAAAAATCAAGCAAACTGAAACATTGGTAAATTCCATTCAATATTCTTTCATGGTAACACTCATAGTATTGCCAAGATGGCCTGCTGTAAACCTATTTACCTAATATTACCATAAATTTTTTCACCAAAAACCAAAAATGAATCTAAATTAATTTAATATCTCCCTCGAAAACATTGCAAATGAAATGAGCCATAGTATTTAACTCCAAATGCATATTCATTTACTGATTACTATTGAAACTAATGAGAGTTAATAAAGCATGTCATCTCTTGTCAAGTTAAACATACACATACAACGAGCCTTAAGTTGACAGAGACCTTCACACAATTTACGACAATAACCACATAACAATTCACAATTTCTGAACACAAATACTAATTGAAAACGATGCACTCTCAGACATCTATATAAACTTAAAGATGTCCATTTATTTCCAGAGGTCTCGCAATCACGTTCGATTCAGGATGTATCATTGCTTACTGACACTTAGCCAGGAAAATCGATTTTTAGTTTCTTTTCTCCAACAAGAGCTTGATCCCTACATCGTATATTAAGTAGACAGCACAGCTACCGTTCACACAGTTATCCAGAAAGTTCTATGAGCAAACATACAACGAATCTTTCCACCTTGATCTCGAGTCTCTAAAAGCCCACTTATCCATTTCAATGTAGATTTGCTCTCGACAATATATTACCATAACAGCCAAATATTAAGGCATTCGATGCGCAAACCGGATAACGATTTCGATAAATCCTGCATCATTGCATAGCTTGTGTCTTCACGTTGACACACCAGCAACAGCACATGCATTAATGGTTACACTTGGAGACTCATCAATTCAAACATATAAGAGCCCGAGGCTTCACTCTCGCAAGGGTTATTGTCGCAACCAAGTCTATCCGACACACTTGAGTATCAACAAATAGTTTATACATTTTGTAATTCTGTTTCAAAACCTATAAATCAACTAATTTGATGAACGTTTCAAGAAACACACCTCATACAAAGCATTGATACGAAGACTCGATTAAGTCGAGATAGATCTCTCTCATTAGATCAGAAACTATCAAGACTTACTCAAATTCTTAATCACTGATTATATGACAGAAATTCATATTCGTTGCACTGTTTGGCTCCAGCGACAAACACATATGTTTTTGTACCCAACCACACTACTCAAAAAAGCAACACCTAAAACTTTAATCTCTCGTCACACACACTGATTCAATCAGAGTACACCACAGACACCACAAGCGAAGCAACTTGAGAATTCACAACCGCAAGAATCTATACTCACTCAATTCACGTGGATCCCTGGGCACTTTCTATCACAATACATAAAATATCTTATAGATCACACGAAACGATTTTTAACAAAAACGTTAAGACTCATCTGAAAGTGTCGGTCTCAACGATTATGACGTACGCGGCCAAACACGGAGAAACACACAACACCTAATGCAACACGACACAATAACACACACAAAAATACGTTTATTATTCCTACAACCACTAATCAAAAATCCCTTTAGTAACGCGGATGTTTAAATTCATAATTTCTGGCTCGCCGTGAAGTCACAAGTAGATTATCAATTGAATATGACACTCACAAATCAGACACATTTTCATTTTCGCCAGCGCAAAAAATTGTTGGCAATACTAAAATACCTCAATAGCAAAACTTTTATTAGCTGGTCACCCCGAACTACCCCCAAACCAGCTTAAGGAACTGTTTTAAAACCCCTGATTCCTTTTACTCACATTGCTATATAACGCTGCTACTATACTCGACACCAATCGCAACACATATCAAATACCCAGTTAATTAATCCTCACGCACTCTTCTTAAGGCTTCACCGCGATAACAGTCACCTATTTTCTCATTCGAGCACTAAATACTAAATCAACACACACTCTATGAGCGTCACTAGAGGATCCATCACCCACACGGTTCGGAGAACACAAAAATCTCAAAATCAAAATTTAAACAATTATGGTCTTAGACGCCGCCAAAGAAAAAGCTTGCTCAAAAAACCCGTGTACAACTCGAAGCTTAATACCCCATGTATGAACACCATAACCACAACAACCAAAAAAAATATACCCAGGGTAATTCGTTCTAGGACCCACCCGGCCAGAATCACTGCACAAACGACGAAACGATGTATCGCCGTGCACATAATCGCACACAAGTTATCGCATCATGACTATACAAAAAATCTCGACACTGATCTATATATACTCATCTCGGCTGAAGTACATTAGAAATATACGCTAAGACAACGTATGTCACTTGAACGGGTTCCTTCTGTGAAGTCCTAAGGTTGATGTTTACTATGTCCATAGGAAGCCAGACTTATAACTCCCTTCAATAAAATTCCATTTCGCATATGAAAAATTTAAATCATAGTCTCAGAAATCAAACATCACAAAAAATCTTAATACAGTTGTGAAAGGCAAGCTTTCAGACCACAAACAATCACTATTTGTATTCCTAGTAGAAGACGCGCCAACACTCATTTACAGTTGATGTTGCAATTATTTTAAACACAGTTTTTACACGCACCCGCAGATTTTTTTTTTATCAAAAATGAGTTATTACTCAACCCCTAACGTATATCAATTACAACTTGCACTGAATTACTCTTTATTGATTGTCTAGTAGGACCCACCCTGGCACACTATTAAGCAAATTACCTTCAGATTTGACCAAAAAGCCACAAACGAAAACGTACATGTATCGTACAACCGTAGCCTAACACAGCACGTGAATCGCAACCAATGAATTAACAAAGATATTCTGCCGTATAGACCATGCTCCTTACGTAGACCACTAATTCACTGTTATTTGTCATTTGATCCAACGGCACATAACAACTATATTTCGGTGAAAGTGAAAAAAAAATTACGAAGACGAAGAGAAGACACACTGAGATAAATCTTAGAAAAAATTGAATCTTTGTCTAAATACACATGGGGCTTCATGATAGGAGGAATGTTGCAGAACCACCATAAGTCTAAACATCTAATCGTTAAACCACGTACACTTAAATTTTCATAAATCCTGCTTCAATACACAACATTTTCTTTCGTTTAACATAAACTGGGGGGAGAACTCTACTGGCCAATCGGGAATCAACTCTACAGTGGGGTAAGTTTTAAAAAAATGCGCCAACGCTTTTCAGTTCTTTTGCCAAAATCATCTCAATGGCCAAGCTTTTGTTTGCAAAACATCTCATCTTCTGAAACAGTCTTATATAATAAATAACTCAGCCTTTAAAGTGGATTACTTCAAATATACATCATTTCTGCCATATGTGACATCTTTTTGGGAATATGAACAAAAATATCAAAATAGCTGGCCAATTCATCAATTGTAACATCATCACAAGAGTTGGAAGTTGTTGCAGTCATTCGGGCTTGTTGCGAGCAAGTCTGCCTACTGGAATTTTTGCAGGTATAGATCTCAGACCTTAAGCGATTTTTGGCTGCAATACCTGCATCTTTACTGTCATCTTCATATTTGTGACGTGGTAACTTTGTCTGTTCTTCAGTCAACCTTAAACCACGGAAGCTACAACTATCATAAACAGAGGAGTTTGAAGCAAGTTCTTGTGACTGATTTGGAAGCAGAGATTTGAAATCCTGCCATTTTTGGTTCCCTTGACCAAAAGGTACCAAGTTAATTTCCGAATATTTACACTTTAGAATTTCATTAACAACAGGATTACAGTTTCTCAAAACTGTTGGAGATGCTCGCACACTGGTTTTTGAAAGGTAAGATTTTGGATAGTTTGTAAGTTTCAGCACTGGTTCTTTTAAAATTCTGTCACTATTAGGTTGAATCCCTTGCTTGTAGTTTGAAGTACCTGATAAAAATCCTAATTTACTTTTTTGAAGAATACTCTTCTTAAAAGTAATGGTAGGCTTAATACCATGTTCATTTCGTTGATTATGATTCCAACTGCGAGTTGCATGAAGTTTCACATTTGAGCGTTGGATGTTGCATTTGCAAGACAGACTAGCACATTCTTCTCCTGATAGGCTCAATGATGTCCACAGATCTGTCTCATCAACTGCCGTAATCTTCATTTTACCTGCACTCTTTTCACGACGAAATGGATTCACAATTTTCTTTTTTGAGTTTCCTTCACTGAAAATAAACCAAGCAAAACACTTGTTAAAACAACAATTCATAAAATATAAAGGAAATCCATTTAAATCAAACTGCTTACCGTGAAGAGTCAATTTCGAGCTTTTCAAGACTGGCTGGCAGAAGCTCCTCAGCCATTCTGACATTCCCTAAAATCATAATCACAATTTTAACTATAATACTGAGATGATATATCATCAACTCACAAAAGTATTGGAGCTTCAAGTATTGCACATTTCACATATCAAATCTTCGCAAAAATGGAATAAATAAAAAAATTTAAAAGAGTGAACAAATGCAGAAAACAGCATGTTCAATTTGCAGACGTAAATAACATGCAGCACTTACCTTTCTGTACTCCTTTTATTTAATAGTTTATCTGCAGAATGGAAATCAACCACTATCAAATACGACGCAAAATAAGGCATTCGATTATCTGCGTAACACAACGTATTTTTTTAAAAAATTGCATCAATTTTTTATAGTCTCCTTCAAAACTCGAATAGATTCTCTTAATTCTTGTAGAAATTATGTAAATAAGGACAAAAATTCAATCTCATTAACCACAATATCTTCATCCAATCAGCATAAAATTTTTACAACAGCAATATGAGAACAGTAGCCATGTTCGTTACACTTTGAGATTGAGTTCGAGGTTGTTCACAGAGAGTATATTACGAGGTTCGAGGTTGTTCAGGCATTCCGACTGCTGGGAAACAAGCCTAGTCATTCGCGGGAGTTTAAAAACCCGAGATATAAAAATTCCTACCGAACAAGACATACAAATGAAATTATTCATACCCTTTACAAATTTAAACATATACAAAAATGCCCTACAAAAATAAATATTCAATTACTTCTAAAACAACCGTGAAGTGGGTTCCGCAATACTGAAAGTAAATATTTTTACTTTCTTGTAACTGTAGTGCAAAGAGTGTCTCACTGTGCGAAATGCACGTTTTAGAAATCATGAAATCGAAAACGTGTTGTTTTTTTATATCCGTTTGTCTATCTATGAAAAACACCAGAGCCTAAACCGTACGTACATATTATAGTAAGACCTACTTACAATACATGCTACACTTCTGCTGATCTCCCCCGTCCCATACGTCCCATACAGTTTTTACTGTTTTTTTTATTAAATAAATCTAAATCAACACATAGTGTAGTAGCGCGTGTAGAACGTGGTACGTAGAATTTCAACGTAATAAATATTTCGTGAACGATCTGCTTGATGTCGCAGGTCCTATAAACTTAAACAGAAAGTTACATCTTAGGGGTTGTACGTACTTAACAAAAAAATCCTCGTTAATGGAGATCCAGATATTTTCTTAATGAAAAATGTTCTTCAAATTTATATATTTCAATAACGTCATGAATAATTTTTGAAAATATTAATTTTAAGTACATTTTGAGTTTCAGGACAATTTTTTCTTAAACCATTTTGTTTCATTGAACTTTGTTCAATAATACGTCATGATTTTGCATAAAAATCTCTGGAAATATGAAAATCACTAAGTTTTTTTCTAATCCGAGCTGCATCTTCAATATTGTAGGTAAAATATTGTTATAGACGCAAAGTATTCCTTTATATTAGATATTTTACTCATTTCGTACATGTTTTTCAAAACATTAGAATATTTTGTCTTTGTTTTTTACGCATTAACTGCTAGTGGGTAGAAGGTACAATGTTATAACCATGAAGTATACAGTCTTCGCACGAAATTTAAATAAATAAACAAAAATAAATAAATAAATGAATAAATAAATAAATAAATAAATAAATAAATAAATAAATAAATAAATAAATAAATAAATAAATAATCTCGAATCTCCGCGCTACGTATAGTAAAGCACGAGAAATTGTATTTCATGCATGATGCAAGGAAATTGGTGTGTTGCTCCTCCGCACCGCTGATTGCTCGTTCTGCTCAGCACTCGATACGTCACAAGCTAAGAGATTACATCAGGCACTTCTGTAGGAAAGCCAGTGCAGACGTCGCTGCCCGCCATGCGGCATAACAAACAAGCCCTGGAGAAAATATTCCTAGTTCCGTGATCCAAGCAGTGCCAATAAGAAAAGTTTTGAAAAAGGCATAAAGTTAATTTAAATGGTCACCAATCCAAAATAACACGGTGAAGTTGTTGTTGAAATAAAACATGCAACATTTAAAACACTAGGTGATGGCAGCAGGTTGCATTTTAAATTCCCGCTAATATGCAAATTAGTGCCTGAAGTCTGACTCCTAGTGCCAGTAGATGTCGCATGAACACCAACACTGCTCGTCACGATCGCGATCATGCGACATGTAGACGGCACGACCGAGAAAGACGAGAAATACCGTGAGATATTTCATCGTGAAGACAAGGCTTCGCACGAAGAAATAAAAACCCAAGTACAGCTCAGCTGTAACTGCAGCCCTGAACGTACCCACCGTGAGAGACAGAAAGGGACTTCCTTCCATAACAGCCAACTTTACACAATGGAGTCATAATCAAATGTACATTTTGAATCAAATCCCTAATATCAAAAGAAAATGAATTCTCCAAACTTTATAAATAATTTATCATATTCTGTCAGTAATTACTGAACTTTTGCACTTTCAATAGCGCGAGAAATTCATAAAATTGAGTTACAGCTAGTATCAGACGAAGACAAGATTGTGCATCGAAGGCCTATTTAAGGATGCTGAAAGCGAAGGGGTCAAAGATAAAACCGAGTAATCGCCAAAAAAAAAAAAAAAAAAAAAAAAAAAAAACAAAAAAAAAAAAAAAAAAAAAAAAAAAAAAAAAAAAAAAAAAAAAAAAAAAGACAAAAGCCGACAGTGCAGTTCAATACCTGGGAGGGCACCAGATACCACAGGGCGTCTTTGGGCCCTATTTGGTTTCAAAATGATTTCACTTATATTGATATTGTTGCAATATCTTGAATACTGAATGTCATTAAAACGAGAATCTATATTCCTAATATATTAAATATTTTTTGATTGGGGTCTGTGCAACCTAAGCAATTGGTATAAAATCTGGTATATAATCCCTCTTTCTGTCCCTCTGTGGCTTCTGGTGAATGCAATGATCTTCCAAGAAGAATCTGAAGTTATTCTGAGTTATTCTCCGAGTGTCTGTGGGAATGCGAGTATGTTTCTAAGATATTTTATAAATACAATATATCAGGATAGTGGAATTTTCGAAATTAAATAGTTATATTCGTTATCATCACCATTAATAGCAGAAATAACTAAGATTATGAAATCAACTAGTGTAAAACTTGACCAAACAATAGTGCTTGTTGTAAAGTGCTAGAGCCTGAGAACAGTATTTTCGAAACCTAGATCGTTTTTATTTTGTATGAATTCTGTTATTGGCTATTCAATGAATAATTAAAACAAAAAATCGAGTGACCACAGAAAATCACATCCAGAATCCTGACCGCGAAAGGTGAACATACCTAACATGGACTACTCAAAATTGTGTAAGTAATGTTTTAAATATAAACTTTTATTCAACTTAGATTAAATTAATTTGCATGAATGCTATTACATCTTTCTGGTCGGACTTTTGGAAATTACATTTACGTCATTCAGTGAAGTTCTAACCCCCCAATGAGCCCTGATAGAGAAAAAGTGGATATATCTTTTTCCAATATGTTGTAAATTACTTTAACACGATGTATAGAATCAACGATTTTTGAGCCCTTGATTATCGTGGCGACTGGTGTCCCAAACAAGATGGGGATTTCAGTTTGATCGAATGAGGGAAACGTTATTTTCAACATTTTCTCAAAAACTGTTCCAAGTTTTGCAACACAAATTTGTATGATGTACCAACTTAAGCCATTTTTCTTTAATATTCATGAATTCATATTTTAGTTCTACGATTAGAGGACTGAAATATTTAGATAATGTGCAAATGTTCTTTTTTGGCGGAAATACATAAATGGTAATTAGAAAAATTGTGTCAAACCGAAAAGCTAGCCCAGACTAAAGAGATTACAAAAATATCTAGTTCAAGAAAGTCTGTGACATTTTGTAGGATCATTAGTTTACTTTCTCGCATATGTACTTATATACAGAGTAATATAAGTAGAATAGAGAAAGTTATGTAATGCTGTGGAAAATCATCGTATAAAGGATAATTCAGTCCTCGATGCTAACATATTGGGTCCTTATCCCACATGTTATGTACAAACTGAATTTTCCAAAATATTTAAATTTGTATACATTTGTCACATAAATACAGCATACGCCATGTATGACAAGTCAAGATTTGTATATAATCATACAATACACAATACAGATATTTCTAAAAATTAAATACAAGACATAAATGAAATTTAAAATTCAATTCTCGTATTAAATACAATATCATGGAGGCTATAATATAAACTCGTACTCGTGTAACATGGGCTATGGCAAGGGAGAAAGCGGCTTCACCTCGCGTTCGGCCTCGCCGCGTTCTCTGAAGAATCAAATTCCTAATGCTGTCCGAGAAGCTGCGGAAGCGAGCACACGGCGAATTGCGTGCGAGGCAAGGCATCACAGTCCCTCGTCTGACGAATAATTCGTGCGGAAGGATTTCGACATTTCCAGCGGGTGTAGCATTTGTGCAGTAGATACTTACAACGTTGTTTTCCATTCTCTAGGCATTTCCTGCGAAAATGCAAAGAAAAGAAGGAATTCCGTTCTTTGAATGAATAAGGCGGTGTTTTACACTAACTGGCACAATTAATATGTACAATTTGCATGTGAGGGCCGAGGAAAATCCGTAAGTTACACGTAGTGTTGCTCATCAAGAGTGATTTTCTGTAAATGTGCAATTGGCATTGTGGGTGAATTTGTCCTCAGGCCTCACATCTTACCCGATCGCTTAAGAGGCGTTAAATATCTGAAATTTATTACTCAATTACTTCCAATGCTTTTAAACCTGTGGGTTCATGAAAGACCGCTACCGAAGTCGAGGATTGTGCTGGCGCATTGAAAGCGTTGAGGCAGAAATGAAGGTAGTACAACCGGGCAACGTGCGCGTCACGGAGGCTGTTCGGCACAGATGCCTACCTTGCGTTCACGCAGGAGGAGGCCATTTTGAACTCTTGTAGAACTTCTGTTAAACGAGTTAAACGCGCGAATTTTTGGTTGTAAACGCCACTTTGATCAACCATCCTAAATAACACTAACAAATTTTCTTTTTCGATTCCCCTTCACATTTGTTAGATTAATAGACAATAATAGCAACAGGGAGAAATATTTATTGCAAAGTTTTAATAAAGAAATTTAAAGTTGCGAAAAGTGTATTTTCAAAACAAAGAATGGTTAAAAGAAATTTGTATAGATGGTTTCTTCAATATTCACGGACCTAGCAAATATCCGAAGCCTAAACAACAGATGAATTCATGTGTTCCTACCAAATTTGTAAAAAAAGGAAAAAAATCGTCAATATTTAATATTGAAGAAAATATTTTTTCCCTTATGGAATTCATTGTTTCATTTGACTTCGTGTTCCGTTTCTATGTCATTTTCCTTGTCTCTCTCGGAACATCTTCGTTTCTTTGAATTGTAATTTTTAGGTGAGACAAGCTACTCATACAACCTATTCCATCTTTGAATGATTGTATTGTAACGGTACTAGCTGCCGCGAATTCGATGTAGAATTTTGCCTGTTAATAAGATCGCTTGGTACAGCCGCAGCGAGCCACATGCTACATTGGAAGTGTCGACGATAACTGGTTTTTTACTATACTGACTTTTTGATTCTGATAACTTGCTCGTGGGATTTACTAACTTGTTATAACTTTTCTATTCTGTCTCTAACTCTTTTCAACCTAACTTTGGAACTTGAACTCTTTCTTTTCTGTGGACTGTTTCTGGTTTCTGTTGTGATTTGTTATTGAACCCCTCTTTGTCCCTTCGGCTCTATTGAGGCGAGGGGTAGCTTTTATGACATTTATGACAGGACACCCCCGCGCAGTTTGGAAGGAGGGAGCCCTTTGTCGGCAACCGGGTCCCACCGAGCTCTCAGAGGGTGCCTTTCTCCACCCACGCGTGAAAGATTCCCGACGTCAATTACACCCACTTGGGGAGACGGATACACGACCCAACGCACTGCGGCGCACGTGTGGGTTCGAAATAGGTCATACGGATTTTTTTTTGCCGGACGAGACAATAACCTCGCTCACGACGCGAAACGAAGATTTTTGGCTGTTAGGAAGGATCCCGCGTCATTGGTCGAAGCTCCGCCCCGCCACGCTCCGCTAAAATTTGATTCAGTCAATCAGAAGGAGGCTCTTTGAAGAAGGGGAGGGGTACCGGAGTCTTCGTGATGACGGGAGAGAAGCTCCAACGCCACTGACTCTCGAGATTTCACGAAGAGAGATTCAGTTCCAAAAACAGTGACATTCGAGAGACATCGTTCCTGGCACTTAGAAAATATTTTCGCTGGCCGTGAACTGCACTCGCACGTCAATGCCAGTCTCGACAGTGCTCAGTTCCGTGGCACAGGCCGGCTTAGCCCGCGCTACGGTAGTGGGCCGTCCGCGATCGCTTGATTCGGGAATTAGATGAATTCCAATTAATCATCGCCGACGCGAATCGTGGATGCCTGACGGTCGGGGCTTCCATCCCTGGGTCCGGCCTGAGCAAGGGAGACGAGCGCGGCGACGCTGGAGCGCGGCCGTTGTCTTGGCTGCAACTGTCCTGGGCGACCCGCCCCTTCCCGTCGGTCAACAACACCACTAGCTGAGTGTGTTCTACTGCCGGGATAACAACAAGAATGGTAATCACCAGCTTTACTCCCACTAAAATGTGGTAGGACTAATTGAGCGAAGCTGGAGAGAAGATGCAATTATAAAATATTGCGTAATCACCCATCATTCAAATTATATATGAGATATTAAATGTTTGTTTGTAAAAGTTTAAAGACGATTATTGAAAAACCCCATTCCCGTTCCAGAAGTCACACACACTTAAAGGGTTACAATATTTTCTGAATTGACAGTTTTTATTTCAAACATAAGTTCGCAGGAAATCTAAAAAAAGACAGAAGAAAATGTTGAGCTCAAACGTTATAGTCTTTCACAATTTTTACTGTATTTGCTTCGAACAATTTTTGAAATTAAAAAGTAGTGAATTGATATATACCGCAGTTATAATAGCTATTTTTCCAGTTCTGCCCCTGGCAGATATCAACTGTTGACGTTTCATCCAAACGGGAGCTTCAACGTCACCATAGTGACGTCACTGGTGACGTTCAAGCTCCTGATTGGATAAAATGTTGTTAGCTGAAACTTGCCAGGGGAAGAGTTGGAAAAATCGCAGTACAGAATGGTAGTTTTTTAAGTAAAATTTGTGAACGAGATCAACAGACAGTACCGACATCACGGTTTAAGAGAACAGTTCATTTATTACACTGTGACGAAAGGAAGCAAATATCATTGGTGACAAACGTGATAAAAAACAGAAACATCGGCAACCACGCAATACAACCAAACACTTATAAATGCTTTAAACCGGCAACCGACTACACTGAGAGATGTGTTGCGAGGAACGTGCGGCGAGAAATGAGGAAAGAAGCCGGTGAGGCTGCAGTAGAAATTCGTTGTTTAATGTCTTGGAATGCCTTTATGTACCACTAGCCGAGAGTGGTAACAGCAGTTAGCTATGCGATAGGCCGCGAGTCCCATTTCTTGTTTTATTAAATGCTCGTGTAATTTTAACCTGTGAAATCCTTGTTTTGTTACCATAATCTGAAACCATCCGTTTAACGAGTTCGAATTGCCTAAAGAGAAATACTACATTGCATACAAATCATTATTTAATGTAAAAACAGGAGCTGTATCTGACGTATAGGGAAGAAGTACTTTTCATCACTGAAGAAGTGCCTTTTACCACTGAGGTTCCGGGTGCAATTCCCGTAGAATCCCTGTAGAACCCCATTTGTTCCTTCAAACGAGTTTGCATGATTCACAAAGGTTAAGTCCAACTCCTGTGAAGTGTCCTAAACCTCCATCCTAATTCCTTCCCAATTCTGGCCGCTGGGTAGTGACGCAGGAGCGTGTATTAAGATGAGCGTGCGCGGGGATGCTACCTGGCGGTCCTTTTGACAACTGATTGCGACGAGACATGACATTAAATGTCAGATAATGTTAATGGAAGATTACTCCTATAAATAGCGCGATTAATTAATGGAGGATTACTCCTCAGCGCAAAGCGCTCAAAGCCCCCCGGTGCTTGGAGATGCGTTGCATCAATTCAGACGCAACACATTTAAAAAAAAGTACAATCTATGTCTCTATGCAAATTTTCTTGAGCTCCGATATTTCTACTTTGTTTGTTTTACAAGATTTGTTGGTTGAATTATGAATAAATGATGAACGATCAAATAAATCATATTAAAATTCACAATTAATTCATTTATTTATAAATGAATGTGAATTACGAAAAAATAAAATGTTAATTCATTTATTTCAAAATACTTTTTCAAGTTTCTTGCTTTTAATCTTTATTTCTATATTTTTCATTACGAACTGCTTTCTTACAAGTAATAATATTTTCCACACAAGTGTTTTCTGGTTCATTTCGGTTTAAAAATCAAGGAATAAATTGAAAAAACTAGTTGTTTATCACATCTTTTACTTGTAAATTTATAATCTCACTCGTTTCTATGCACTTTGTAGTGTTTTTCTACCGCAGCGAGTGCCTAAATGTTATTAACAAGTGAAGTAGAAATGTGTCCGAGAAAACTCGATGGCTGACCGACTCCAGCGATTTCACCCCTGCAGAGGCGAACGAGAAAGCTCTTTCAAGTGCGTGGGGGTCTTTGTTTCGATTTTCCACATTTTTCGTCGCACTTTTCTGTAAACACATTCTTCGGTGTAGTCTGTTCCGGGCCTTAGGAAATGCTTAGGCGCACTCATGAGCAAATATCAGTATTCGTTTTAATAGCATGCCGCCCTAAATTTTCCCGCCAAACGTTGTGACGTCATTCACAACATCGTGTTCCAGCAAGGATGTGCACTAGAGCGCGCTACTGACCACCAGTGTATATGTTTGGTTTATATACATGGATGTCGAAAAGAGTTGAAAATGCTATGGCGTATTCCTTGACATTGCTTTTGTCGTACGAATTTAGTGGTGGATTTAATGAAGAGTCTACCGGCGCTGATCAGTGCTGACCGTGTATTAATGCTTGTTTGTTGTATTAATTATTAACAATTTTACGATTATGCTATTCGCAGTGATCTGTTGGCATTAATGTGCTCGATTCTTCGATATTCACCAAATGCTTGATTAGTGTGTTCTTGACACACTCGTATTTACTTAACATTCTCATTTAACAGTAATTTACCCCAACTTGTTCATTAAGTAGATTATTTTAAAAATAGATTCATTTCTTAATCGTATGAAGAGAGTGCAAAGATATTTTTGCACGTAGTGTCCCTTTCAAAATCGTTTCAGACATCTGGCATTGGTGGGATTTATATTACTGCAGTAAAAACATACATTTGCAAAGATGGGTCGCAGGTCAATAAATACCACAAAAAGTGGTAAATACATGAATCCGACAGATCAAGCACGTAAGTTTTCAAGAAGTGTTAGACAATGAAGAATTTGAATGATTTGATATTGTCAAAAGTATTCCCTGAGTTAAACTGTGAAACTTTTTCTTTTGTGCTCTCTAATAGGAAAGGAAGCTCGGAAAAAAGAACTAAAGAAAAATAAAAAACAAAGACAGATGGTTCGTGCTGCTGTTCTGAAAGGGAAAGATCCTGTTCAACTTATTGCAGAAATGGAAAAAATTGACCAAATGGGTATGTGCTATTGTATTTTATGTACTGTAGTTATTATTAACTTTTTCATTTCTTTTCTGTTCTTTCATTTAATTAAAAAAACATTTATTTGCTGCTCATACACTTAGTGTCGGAGGCCTTCTCTATTTTACCAATAACTTTTATTCTTGGTTGAGATATATTTTGTCGTATGTGTAATTAATTATTCTTTAAATTACTTCATTATAAATAACTTTTTTGTGGCTGGTTTGCACCATTGGTCACAAACGTCAGTGCCAGTATCTGTATTCTCTCCAAATCATTTGTGCTTGCAAGTATTCAGTGATGAACTTGTGATTTATTAGCAATATATTCATTGGGTAGTGCATAAAATTGTTAGAGGTACACATTCAAAATTGGTGAAATATTATAAACTAAATTGTCTTAGTAAATATCACATTTTTGTTTACAGAATACAATGTTCTTCAACCTCCACCTTTGAATGAAAAGGTTTTGAAAGACAAAAGGAAAAAACTGAAAGAAACTCTTGATAGAGTGATGACTATGTATGTAAGTAGGACATTGGAAAATAATTGAATGTTTCTTATTTTAAATGAACTATATTTTACGATAAACAGATCTCTGGTTAAATAATAGTATGATTTTTCATAGGATAAAGATGATCCAGAAAAATGGGCAGAATTGAAAAGAATGGAAGTTGAGTATGAGAAACGTAGAATGGCAATGGTTACTTACGCTGAATCAGTTCGGCATGCTCAGCAAGTTCAAGTGGATGACATCCCCTTGCCCACACTTCAGTTACCTAATGATCCATCATTATACATGGGTCTTCCTTCTCAAATTCCTCTTCCTACGGATGTTCCCAATCCTTTGTTGGGTATCGGATTGCCACATGCCGTACTTCCTGGTTTAACGGCTGTACCTCAGCCCTCTGTACCACTGCCCCCTACTCATGGTATCTTAAAGAAGACTTCTGCCTACACAAGTTTAACACCCAAAAAGAAGAAACCTCCTGGTGTACCTCCTGGTCCCCCTCCAGATCTTTCAGACGATGAAGAGGAAGTGGCGAAACAAGGTTGGTGTTGGAAATATTGAAATGTTTCAAATTTAAAGGCTTACTTTTTGAATTTTAATTATCTTATTCCATGATATTATTACTAACATTATTGCACTCCATTACTTATGTGAATTATTTTTGTTGTTAAGATTTGAATTAGGCCATGTATGTGTAATTGTTGAATAGTGCTAATTAACAATTCACTTCAAATTCTAAGAACTGATTTTTACCAAAGACTCTGGGTCTTAATGTGGTAATATTATGAGCTTAATATTAAAAATATTTTTCAGATTGTTTGTATTTTGTTTTCAATAGTCTTATAATTTTAATTTTTGAAGCTGAGCATGGTGAGTGGACTATGAATGAAAGGTTGAATGATTTTTTTTTTTGGCTTGTACTTTTAGCTGATGATGGATATTCTTCGGAGAGAGAGCAAGCCCTAAATGAACCAGATATACAAGCAAAGCTTGCTGCAGTTGCAGGACTTCCTCCTCCTCGTCAGCGTGTTATTAGGTTTGCTGACGATGAAAATTCTCAAGATGATAATCTTTCAAAGGGATCTGAAAATAGAAAAGATAAAGAAAAGGATACTGAAAGTACAGGAGAATCAGGAGCTGCACCTCCTCCAGCTCCTAAGCCAACTACTTTGCAGCAGAAAATGTTGGCAATGGCTGGGCAAGACATTGATCAGTTCATGAGAGAGGTACAGAGTGCTGTATTTTTATCTTTTATCCTTTTAGTTATTTAAAAATACAATTTTGTATTAAATGTTTTGTAATATTTTAATAGATGGAAGAAGTTCATAGGAAACGTGAACAAGATAGAGCAGCTGATTTAACTGCACGTTTATCTCTGCTGGAAGGAGAACCCCAAGAAGAAGACGGCAAGCAAACTAATGCGCCGCCCCCAACTAATGGTTCTAGTGTACCTTCAAAACCTCAGAACAGTGAATCTGATGAATCCCAAATCCTTCAGCCCCCAGGAACTGGAACAACTGATTTAAGCCTGCCACCTCCTAATATTGCCTCTGTCCCTCCGACAAGCCAGACTACCAATACTTCGTCAACGGTAACTTCAGTGTTACCTCCGGCTCCACCCCTTGGATTACCCCCAATGATGTTCAGGCCACCTCCTTTGAGGCCTGGGTTACCGCCTCCTTTGAGGCTGCCTCCTGGCCCCCCACCAGGAAGACCAGGGCTTCCTCCAGGTCCACCTCCTGGCTTGCCTCCAAGACTTGGACTCCGGCTGCCTCCCGGGCCCCCTCCTGGTTAGTATTTATATTACAAGAAGGTTAAGATGACGTTATGTTGTTTGACCTTATTGTTGCAACCTATTGTTACCTCCTGCAAAATTTGTTTTCATACTAGATGAAATATGTCATAAATTATGTGTATGCAGTTCAAATTCTATCTATTATTATTTTTATTAGACTTCAAAATAATGAGGTTATTAATTTAGCATGTAGATATGTTGTCAGTATTTTAATGTATAATTTGATAACTATTCAGTTGTATCAGTTGAAACTTTTCAACTAATTCTTCACGATTCCTTCACTTTATAACATCTTAATGCTCTGATGCTTAATGAAATTTTTACCAAGATTTTCATGCCACAGTAAAAAGGAAATTGCTTTAAATTACCATGTTTTGAGCACTGGTGTATTGGCAAAGAAGTTTTGAATAAATAGATTCAGCTTTGATGTACTCAATCTTGTACATATGCATCAATTAGTTAGATTTTCTTAATGAATAAAACATTGACATGTGAATGGTGCTCTGAGTTTTACTTCAGATATTTTTCATTGTTTTTATATGAAGCAGTGGGAAAATTCAAAGAATATGTTATTAATTTGAAGAGCAAATAAGGACTGTATAAATTCAGGCTTTTAATATTTGACTTAAAGAGACTTTTACCAGTATGTTTTCAAATAAATTAAAAAAGATTACTTTAAGTGATAATTTAAATAGTAAAATAATATGTTTAACTTCATATAAATTTTGTTCCAACAGGTATACCTCCAAGAATGTTGCGATTGCCTGGTCCACCGCCTCGACTTCCATCAGGCCTTCCAATTCCAGGACTTACGCTTCCTACATCAGCTGGTCCTACTCCTCTGACATCTATTCAGATTCCTTCTACTGGCAGCGCTGCACTTGCAACACCTAATGTTTTGAGTGCTGCTCCGCAACTAATAAATCGAACTAGAACTGAAGCAGGTACCACTGAAACTCCTAAGAAACAACAAGGTGCAACTATTGAAGCAAAGCCTCAAATAAGGTATAATTATTAAAAATAAAACTGCTTTAATATTTGAATTTGAGTGACATGTGTATAACATCAAACTATGTTTCTAGAAATCTGAGTGCTGATGTGACCAGATTTTTACCGACTGCATTGAGAGTGAAACGTGAAGACAAGAAGAGGAAGGATATAAAATCATTATTGCCAGGTAAATATAATTTGTTTACTTTTTCTTTATGGTAAAAATTTTTTTTATATTTATATTTGAGAGGAAACATACAAAGAAGAAAAATACTTAATGAAATGTGGAAAGAGTAGTTCCAAAAGAGGGCTGACTGTGTTACTGCTTCTACCTTCCAAAAAGTATAAATATAGGTTTTTTTTTGGAATTCTCTTGTCCATTATCCATCTTCGGTTTGCTACTTGATCCCTGGTTCTCCTGTCCTTTCAGAAACCAGTTTGTTCTATTGACAGTTCTGTTTCTATAAAAGGCTCTAGCCTTTTATTTATTATTTTCAGCATGATCTTGCTTACATGACTTGACAGTGCTATCGTTCTGTTATTAGCACATTCCTGAGTGTCTCCATTTTTTGGTAAGGGAATGAAAATCGTTCTCTGCCAATCCACTGGCCATTCTTCCTTTTTCCATATCAGGTTGCAAAGATCTAATATCCTTCCTATAATTGCATCTACTGGGATTTACAGAGGCGAAAAGGAATGTGTGTCTGTACTCGCGCAATGTCTCCAAACCCCTAGGAGTGCGTTGAACGCTTGCTTTTAAGGAGTAATCCCCCATTAATAGTATGTTGGTCTGCTGCTTAGTCTCATCGCAGTCAGTTGTCAAGACAACCACTAGGTAGCATCTCCAGCCAGAATTGGAGAATTGGGAAGGAATTAGGAAAGTGGTAGGATCTAGGACATGTCACAGGGTTTGTGTCCTAAACCCCTGTGCTTGTTATGCAGCCAAACATAGTTTTGTCAGAACAAATTTCACGATGATACTGTCTGGGAATCGAACTCAGACCTCCTTTGTGAAAGGTGAGAAACTTAGCTCTTGAGTCACAGAGCCTGCCAATAATTCTTGTGGAGAAAGCCATACTCCTGATTGCAGGATTTCATGCAGTGGGCATGCTCATGTGAATGATAGAACACTGTTTTGCGAAATAAAATGAAAGGTAGTCAAAATAGCATTAACAGTTGTTGAAGCAAGTGAAGTATAATTTTTAAATATTGAAATTACATACAAAGATATTTAGTGCATTATCATTGGAAGCTGCTGGGCATTAAAAGAAACAACATGCGATACAAATACGAAGCCAGTTTTGTTCTGTTAATCTGGCCTTTTGCGATGGCCAAATGATTCCTGAGATAACTTTAACAGTTTCATATTTTGTTCATCACACCAACTTTATATTTTGTTGCCGTTATGGATTGCTGGTCTCGCAATACAAGTTAGTTCAGGGTTTTGCTACAAAATAAATGCTTATTGCCTGGTTCAATGCCTTCTACATAGGAATGACTAAAGTTGGTTTCTTAAATTCTCTATGCATCGCTAGTTAGCCTAAGGAGAGTTGGGAAGTTCTCTCTCATGAGGGACTGTCTCAAGAAGAAATTTATGGTTACACTGACCTTTCCTATCGGTTTACTTTTCAATCCTGCAAAATGCTGGAGTCCTTGAAGTCTTGTTAGGACCGACCTAACTCTTTTGTTACTATTCTTTTACTGGTTGACCTGTTCCTAGTTTTCTGTCTGCATTTGGTTATGATAGGATTTTCTCCATAATTTCAAAGTTATCTTGACCAACAGCTCTGAGTACTGCACGATCAGCAGGGTCAGCACAGAGAAGTGGCGATGGCCAAACATATTGCACCCACCACATGACTCATGTTCATAACAGTCAAAGGGATTGCATTGAGAGTGAAATGAGAAGACAAGAAGAGGAACCCATGAGGACACGAAGAAACAAAATAGCACCCATTCGAAAATTCCATAATAAATCTATTTTTTTGTGTTTGTGTTTCCAAATGCTGTAGAGATAATTATCTTCATTGCTCATGTTTATTTTGATAAAAGGTTAGGTCAGATTTGTTCATTTAATCACTTTTGTTATGGAATGGACCCTTGCAAATGAAGGTTCCACTTTAAGTTAGAGAGCTCAAGCATGTGTAGGACAAAAAGACAACTTGATTCTTACAATATTTTTCACTCTTTATCTAGTGTGTTGTATGTAGAATGTCTCCAAGTTTAAAAAAAATTAATTTTTGTATAAATTTATTTTCAGAATCAAGGCAGGAAGCATTGGTTCCCAAACCAACTCCAGTGCAGAGTCAACAAACCAAAGATGATGCATATATGCAATTCATGAGGGAAATGGAAGGACTTCTTTGAGCCATAGCAACCTGGATATTGTATATTTCCATCAATTGGAGCTTTCTTTACAAAATATTAAATAATTATAGTACAAGTTAATAATTAAACTGTATAAATAAAATTTTATACTAGAAATCTCAGTGAATATTTGATTATAAAGTAAATATAATAATTCTTGTTACTAATGATCCCTGAAATTTAGTTCACAAAGAGGGTGAAAAAGACACATCCATCAGGAGGTGTAGATAAAAGATAAAAAAGTCTTAATGTTTATAGAGAGTTGGTTGAAATGAGTGATGATGAGAGTTGCACCTGACAAAGTCGTCAATGGGCGTCAAAAGTTTTGAGGGACATCCAGTGGCCAAGCATAAGGGTAGGCAGAGTAAACTGAGCTATTGCAAAGAATTTTGAAGATGGTGAGAAATATCTCACAAAAAAAAAAGGCCAAAGAGACAGCATTTAATGTTAAAAGGGAATGCCTTATTTGCCCAACTTCTGGTGCCACCACATTGTTCTGTATAAATTGTATTGGGCAAATGGTCAGCCAATAGCATTGAAGTTACTGGTAACTATGTTAAGAACGTGCATTAAATTCCGCGAAATGAAGATATTGTCACAACAAATGTTTCAATGTTCTATAAACACTTTACTAAAGTATTGAACCTACTGAACTCGAAAGCCGAGAATCAAATGATCGTGTACGCAATCCTAAAATAAGAATATTTTCTAATAACATTAACACATGTTTTATTTTATCGAAGTAACACGCACACAATCTAACTTCAGGATATCAATAGGGTTTGTTCATTTGTCTTTTCCAATCTACTGTAATCTGCACTTTATTTATGCAAGAACAAATCAGAGCTTAGTAGCATGCCAATTTTTGCCATAGCAATCAGTGAGCATATGAATTATTCTTTGGTGCAATCTAGTATACCCAAATGAACACACCCAACGAGCCGAATGTGTTGATCTTAACCACCAAATTTTTATGTTTATTTATTAGTCATAAGTGTAGAATTTCTCCTTATTTTCAGTTCAGTGTTTTAGTGTTACACTTTTAAAATAGTGTAATTTTAATTTTGCTAACAATTTGAATGTAGGCTCCTCTTGATCTTAGCTCTAGGCTGCAGCCTATAGAAAATCCGGTCGTGGACATGACACATTTCTTGGTTGGGCCTCATCCAACTTCTGAATATGATGGCATTCAAGGAATAGAATTCTTTGTCTAATAGGTTTTGTCTTTTGTATCCTCTCCGACATAGTGGCCCTGTAAGCCCATAGAGGGGAGATATCTCTACTCTGTGTATGCCTCATTGTCTGGCAGAGAGAAATGTAACCCTATGGCTTCTATTAGGAAAGTTTCATTGGTAAAAGCATATATTAATCTAGGAGTGTATTTTGAGACACATGCTGCTCTTTTTGGATAGGTGGCCTTGATTGCTTCGATGACATATAGATCCTCTTTTTTTAGATGTGGCCATATTTCTTCAATTCCATAGGTCATTATTGGGAGAATTTTCGCGTTGAATAGTCGCAATGCGGTTTTGATAGATAGGTTCTTAATGTTTTTGATTTGGTTTATTGCAATCACTGCTGGACTTTTGTGTACGTTGCTTTCAACGTGTTTATTTGCCCCTGTTACAATTCTGCACAGCCTTGGTGGTGCCATTTTTGGCATATGCTGTCACACCTCTGATTCATTTTCCCAAACTGCGTTGTTGCATATGGGACATATGTACTGCATCTTGTTTGTTCTCTGCAGCGTAGTTTGATTGCGTGGAGCGTAGGAAGATTTTTAGTTACAAAATTACTTTTTTGTCGCAATTGGGCATTCAGTTTGTGCATGTACACGGAATGTTTCTGTACAATTACATTGAATTAACTTTTTTTGGTTAATATTTTGGCATACTACATTGAATGTACAGTTCTCAAATACCATGTATTGTTGTAAAAGATTGTATGTGGTTGAGAATTAAATTTAAAGCAGAAAAGTTAATAAGAACTGATTGTCTTGATTTTTAAAGGAAAATTGGCTATAAAGTGCAGTGTTGAAAAATAAAAATAAGTTTGATAAAATATTTTTGAAGAGCATTAATAAATCATTAGAATTTCTCCGAAGTGTTGAAAAAGAATTTTCGATAAACAATAGACACAGAATATTTCTGCAGTGATTTTGGAACAAAAGAAGTGAAAATTTACCCCTTTGTATTCAAAATCATAAAACGTCCTAATGTCGATGAATTGATTGTCCGCGTATATACGCTGGGCCCTTATTTCAATATCTTCAGTATTTTTGGGCGAAAAACAACAACACATTAGCTGGGAAACGTAAATCAAAGACTTTCACACATATAAAGAGAATCATAATGCAAAAAGGGGCAACAAATGCTACCTTTTTCTTGAGTAACTGCTGTCACCATTCTCGACGTATGGCACATAAAGGAATTGTGAGGCATCGAATAACCCATTTCTGTTTAGACGCAGCCTCATCGGCCTCTTTCCTCATCTCTCGGTGTAGTCTTTTGCGGGCCTTACTACCGTGTGATTAAAAACTGCCGGCAAGCTCTGCCTTCACCAATCACCATCAGCTTGTGTGGAACGTCTGGGAATATCCGCTAGAGGTCATTGAGCAACTTCAATCATCGCGAGTAAAACATTCAATTAGTTCAAATTTCAGTATTTGAATTCCTCTGTCCCTTATTCATAAAGTACAACATTGAGAATGTTCATTTTTCTTGCACATTATTGAACTTTATGATAACTTTTAATAAAACCCGATCATTTAGAAAATGTTGATTTTAAGTATTTGTAGGTTGGCATCGCGGCGACTAAGTGAATCCCCTAGTCGTAGTGGTGTGGAAAGATCAAACAGGGTCATTTCGTAAGTTGTTTGAATGGCGTTTTGGCGTGTAGGGTACAGGTGAAGTGTCGTTCGACCAACAACAGTATATCTCGGTGTACAATGTGTTAGTTTTTTATTTTGTAATTGAAATATACGGAATAGATTAGGTTTACGTGATTAGAACCACATGAATTAAATTCTGCGAGTGTAGATGGAGACTCATTTGATTCAGTTAACTTTTTGTTGAGTAATTCAATTGAAGTAACTTTTGAACAAAAAAGTGCAATTGAAAGAAAAAAAATAGCCAGACCCAAATTAAATATTTCACAAAAGAATGAGAAATACACAAGGACATATTCTTGATTTCAGTATTGTGGCATGACTGAATTAATAATATTATTGTAGTCTTCTGATCTCTAGCTTGGTAATATTTTATATTTTACAAATTATGTGTGTACATGTTCATGACTCTGCTTATCCTAAAATTAATCTCACGCTTCGGCACTGGGGACATCGCAACTCTACCTCTAAAAGAGAAGCACTTCCCTTTGATGTTCTGAGGGTATTGTGCAACACAAAATCAGAACTGGTTAATGGCGATGTCTAAGGCATAGCAAACATTAAGTTTGTATCTTTCGCCGCCATCAGTGAGTCGTTCATCCTTGCAAAGTTCATCAAACCCACACCAGCCACTTACACATAGCAGTAAAACGCGAAATACGTGCGAACTGCAACACAACTGCAAATTTTCGGCTAAGCCGAAAAAAAAGTCCAGTCAGAAGCTGTGTTAGATGGAAGTCCACCTCGTCATTGCTTCGCCCTCCCCATACTTGTATATTCGGGATGAGTCGATGCGTCACTCCTTACGCAAACTGCCCCCATAGTCTTAGGTATTACTCGCGAAACTTTTCTTGAACGATGGATTGAAGAAATGAGGGTAGAGTGGGGGTATTAGTTAAGAGATCGGCCACTAGATTTTATGAGCAAGTGCCAATCTCTGGGAGAATCAGTCACGCCTTCGTAACGTTCTGAAATAATTTGCGTTCTAACTTTATCAGGAGTTCGGGTATCCTCCTGTAATTGTTCCGTACACGAACACAAAGCCTCGCGTAAGGCGGGCTGGCGCTCGAGGGTGCGCCCTAATATCTCTCTGGTGCGCCGCCGCATCCTGCGCCGCGCGCACCTGCCGAAGGGCCCCCCCCCCCCCCGCGCTTTTTCCGCGAGGCTTGCAGCCTCTCCTGCTTGCACGCCACATTCACTGTGCCAGGTCATGACTTGGAGAGACAACGCGAAGAGCCAGCCATAACCGCTTAGCATTGCTTTTTTCGTTGAGCAGTCTCCGCGCTCACGAACACATTTTCATGTTTTGCGCTTCGCACACGTAAAAACGCTGCCCTCGGCACGTGTGTCAGTAAGTTGAGTGCGCTACTCTATCATCGACGAGCAGCCACTATACAGGTGTACGGACAGACCCGTCTCACACCAGTAACCTGCTGGTGAGAGACCGTGTGTTCCGCCCGCACACTCTTGCTGTCAGGGTCCACCTAGGGCCCAACCAGTCATCCCCCCCCCCCCGGCACCTCACGGCCCGGTGCGGTGTACAAATTACTTTGTATAGAGAAGGGCCTTTCAGTCTTCTAGCGCCCCCCTCCCAGGTTCCAGGTATTCTTCCCCCTTCTCTGAACAGTAATAGATCTTTACGTTCTTTGGTCATTTCTTAAGATTTTTGGAGAAAATAACCGATAGAAGTTCTCATCTTCAAAAGAAAATTGTATCTATTTCGCGCCAGTGAAGATGTGTTTGGAATGTTGTCATCAGTGCTCGCTGCGAGCTTTTGCCTTCATCTGTTTATTGTGCCAGAGAGGAGGAAGCAAGGTCATCGTTCAAGAAAAGTTGCGCGAGTATTATGGACTCGTCTCTCTTCTGCATGTCCTGTCAGGTCGTCTTTTCTCTGATGAAAATTTACCCCCAGAATTAATATAACGGTTTCACATTCAAGGAGCCGCGACATCATCCAGATCGATTTGAGAATATAATTTTTTAAGAAAATCGGTTGAACGGTTTAGCCGGTAGCGTTGTTCACAGACAAACGTTTCGCGGTTGATCGAATTTTGGGTATCAAGGACCCGCAAGGCAAGAATTCTGGCTACACCACGTGTTACAGGATTCCGCCTCCCCTAAATTTAGCATCTTTCGCCGCCATCAGTAAGTCGTTCAACCTCGCGAAGTTAATCAAAATGTCGTTTCATTTTCTTCATTCGTTTAGCGCTTAATTTCTCTTCAACTTTCCAGTTTTTGGATAATTCAATTGTATCATTTTCCAAATCATCACAGTGAAAAAAGGCAAAATACGTTATGGAATTTTTGGCATTTGTGAAGCCCAACAATGTCAATATCTAGCGAAATATAATTGCGCAATGACGTAAATTAAACTGAGACATTGAGAATATAAGGTGTTGGAAAATCCAAATATTAATTGAATACAATAAATTTTGAAAATTTAAGATTTTTTCGTAAATAAAGCTATTTGTAAATATAGGACATTGTTGATAGAAAACAAAAGACGCATGATGCTTGGTTATGGTGCGATAAGATCGCATCGATGAACATGAATAGAAATTAAACAAGTGAATTGGTTAATCCAGATAGGAAGTGAAGGCGAACAATTTTGGACATAATTCTGCCAGATTTCGTAGAATGAGGATCGATGGCCGTCAAGGCATTAAGTAGAATTAATTCGTAATTAGTTCGTGGAGATAGAAAATGGATATATGGTCCACGTGTAATAAGAGAATAGGGAATTAATTGAACTGCAATTTATTGGTAATTGGCTACAATTCGCATGGCGCACGGGCTGTTAGAAAACGTTTGAAACGGAAATATGGCTCGTGCCACGATGATGAAATGTTCTTTATACGTTTCCAGATTAATAATACTTCCACCATATTAATATTGTAAGTCATTTCATTTTTTAAAATTATTATTAGATGTATTGAACTATCACAAATTTATACCTTGCGCGCCGCAAGGAGCTGCCACTGATATTAGTAAACAGATCACCGAAAAATATTAACATATTGAAAACGATTATATTTTCATGAAAAACTGTAAATTCAATACCTCCATTTTTTTTATTCCGACATTATAAACCTTTTCTATTGCAAGAAATCGGACATTTTCCGGCAGATAAAGTATTAGATCAGATTTTTCTCCAGTTTCCCTGATCCATTGAGCAAATGCTGAGATGGCCCCTTGTTTTGCTTCTGGACGTAAATGTAGCTTCACTATGCGCATGTTTTGTTAAACTCTCCTTTTGCTTGTAATGGTAAGAGTAGAGGTAAGGGCGAGTTACTATTTTGTTAGCAATGCAGAAAACTCATACTTGCAATTCTTTACCGATGCAAATAAGTTTTCTATAAATCGGAAAAGAAAATATTTTCAAATATTACTAATCTTGCGATTTTTGAAACTTATTTTTATTTATATACAAATTTATTTAATTTTCCCCGTCTTTCAACTATTTATAGTTAAAATGACGGGAAGGGATTCTGGAACTCAAGAAAACTTGCGCAGATAATTTTTTCCTCCCTACGTCATAGTTTTTACTTTTTTTACTGAATAAATTCAAAACTAGAATTTACTCTGCTAATGGTTGCATCATCACACATTCAGCCAATTGCAGCGAGAGAATCGAGGGAAGAAAGGTTTAAATGGAATAGCTGACTACCGTTTTCTCGACTAGATGTCAAATGCTCGAGACTTCTGAAGAAATATGTGTGTGTGTGTGTCTATATATAGACACCCCCCCACACACACACGCACGCACGCGCGCACGCACACACACACACGCGCACGCGAGCTTTCAGCTAATTCTAAAATGCCAGGCAGAAAGGACAAGACTTGAAAACAAGGGCATGCCTAAAAAAGCTGATTACCCTCACCTATAATCACAAGGTGATGTGTGGTGCCCTGTCAGCTAGAATTATTGAGTAAACAGGAGCAGATGAAATACTTTATTGCAACTATTGAAAATTTATTTTTTTTGAAAACAAACGTATTTACATTACATTTTATCCGGTACATAATAGATAATACAAATCCACACTCTACAATTTCATCTCTCTTCTAATTGCTTATCTCTTGTGATAACTGAATCATCAAATTTCACCATGTAAGTGGTTCCTTTGTGCCAATGAGCTGTGACTTTTGCAGGCTGTAACATAACGCAACACACATGACATGATGTATACAAAATATAATGCAAGGTATTGACATTTGTGTGTGGGGATGTTTTCAGGTATATTCAGTAGTAGTACTCTAATCCATATTTTCAAAATTAAAGGCAGTTTTAGAATAACATATTATAATGATGCAAATAACCTTCAGATTGAGAAACAGTAACACAGTGTACATGCTTCATTAATTAAAAATATATGGACAACAAATAATATAAAGTTGTTCTGGTGGATAGTTACAAAGCTACTCCTGTGAAACCGTTTTATATCTTAACGAAGAGAAGCAGCCACATTATTCTCTGATTAAAATTTCTCTATACTTGGCAAGTTAGAAGAAGGAAAACCAAGAGGGTCATCTCATTGACTGTCTTCATTATCTAAGTTTATTGCCAAAGTATATTAATAAATTCAGGAATAGCTGTAATGAAACTTGACGAATTTTAACCATGTGCACCTTTTAACTTTGATAAACCATTTAAACTAGTATTGCTACAGAATGGCATAGACTTTCCCGTATTAGTCTTCTATTTCCTTTTGTCTCAGTTAGCTATACGAGCTTGCCACATCTTGTCAGCTGCAATTTATTGCCGCACAAGATACATTTTATGAAAGTTTCTTCAATTTTTGGTTACTTAATAATAGAACTAAAATATTATTTCAAGAATATTAAAGAACAGTAAACCACCTCCTAAATGGCAATTTCCTTTGAATAATTTGCAGACATTTTTAAGAAAATGGTGCTTAAGCACTACAGTAAATTCGAAATTTGAAGCACTTTTTCACAGAAAAGTTTTTAATTTCAAACAAACTTCACTTGAAGCACTTTATCTCACAAATAATAGTGTTTACAAATTGCTGGAAATGTGCATATTACCATCTTTCAAAATATTATGTTTGTGTAATTTTTGAAAAAAACAAAAATGTACTTCAAAATTAATTCCATACAAAAACAATACACTAATAACAAGATTTTTGCGACTTGCGAGCAGTAAGTCACAATATCCATTACTAAAAGAAAAACAGTATAGCCATACTAGTGAAAAAAGATTTAACAAACACAATGCATTGCTACTTTTTTTGTTTCAGAAATAATAATAAGTATCAAACTAAAACTTCCAAAGAAGATCCAAATTTAATATTTTACAAGTTAATGCCCTAGATGTTCGAAAATCTGAAAAGGCTACACTCTTCTACAAAATCTTCAGATAGGTGCACACAATATGCCACAAAATGAATATCTTATAGACAGTGGTCATTTCAATGCCAGAATTCGGACTGTTTCAATAAAATACTTGGCAAGTCCATACAGAGAACTATTGAGAAGGAAAATGGTAAAGAGTTGCAAGATTTTATATCAATGAACTGCGAGAGAATACCACACCCCTTCTATCAACAAAAGTGGTACATACACGCGTAGGGAGCTCCAGGGCTGGTAGGTTCATCATTGACTGTGTTTCAACAAAAATATTTAAAAAAAAACAAAAAAATGTTAATTCTGACAATTTTCTTTTAAAATATTACATGAAGTTACCACAGAGATAGAATTACAAGGAATAATAAAAAATAAATAAAACAAAATAAAACAGAGAGAGAACAGTATTTTGAATATATTTGTAGGAGGATAGTAGAAAAAGGATGTACAAAAAAAGAATAGACGATATTTTGCAGAAAAGGGAAATTAATAACATCAATGCAGAGTGGCAACAGTAGTTGCAGATATTCTGAAACAAACTGCAGATGAAATATTTACAACATAAACTAAATTCAGAAACAATCAAAAGGTGCTAATATACCACACTGCTAAGAAGTGAGGTATTGAGCCCATAAATCTTCCTTCTAGGGCAAAAACACTGCACCTTAATGCCAATCAGGCATTAAACATTATTTATTTATTACAATACAGTCAAGCAGATCAGTCTGATAATATTCACAGCAAGAACATAGCTCAGAAAATAACTGGTAAGACAAAGACCATGTTCTCAGAGCTTTCAAATGGAAATAGATGATGGAGAGAAAGAATACAAGAAAAATATAGGGGAGGCAGAATCAGTTAAAATCCAGCTGCCTAGGGGAAAGGGAGGAAAAAACTTGAAGAAATTCTAGGCTCTCCAGGATTTTGAAATTTAACATGTGTGTTCAGAGCCTTTTATTGCAAAAACTTAGCTATGAAAGCATCAGATAGATTTAAAAGAGTTGTAAAGCTGCTTCTTCCCTATGTTCAACTGATCATAAGCATATAAAAACTATCACCACAGAAAAACTATAGAGTGAATTTACACATTAATCCAAAAAAATTATAAAGTGGACTTGTATAAAATTCAAAGTTTTAAGACAGATAGACAGTCATCGAGTTAATCATGGTAGTTATACATAATCATGCAACTTACAAAACCACATCCATTTAGAACTGCTTCAATTATTCCTGCAGTGAATATAGAACAATTTAGACTCCCTTTGTCTTTGGGTACCGATATAAATCTATTAACTAAAGGATCTTTTTCAATTATATAGTATGTTCTTTCATCATCATTGGCATGTTCCAACTTGTCTGCTTCTTTTCCAAACAGACTCTGAAAGAAAAATAAGTAATTAATTTCAGTCCCCACTTTGTATAATATTGTTGTTACTTCTGGACAGAAAAGAATATAGAAGATCAGATAGATGGTAAGAGAAAAGCCATGTTTGTGGTTTTCAACAGCAAGAAAAAGGTACAAAGAGATATAACATACAGTAGATATTTACTATTAAAATTAGTAGGTCATGGCTCAGAACAGGCAGGGAACTGTATAAACAATGTAGAAATAAGTTTGTAAATAGTTGGAGGGAAGCAGCAAGAGGGTTGGATTGCCATACTTCCACTATGAAAAACGGGGACATTTCTTAAAAAAAAAAAAGAGGATACTTTATGGAAAATGTTTCAAAATAATCATTCTTTAAGGCAAAATACTTACTACCAACAACATAAATACTTCAATCATTGTCAGCACTTTCACAATCACATAAGCCTTCTTCATTGTCATTAGTCTTTTCCATTTTTATAGCAAAAGTATTTGGCGGATGATGAAATGTCCCTCAACAATTAAAATTTTGCTTCGCTCTGAATCTTGCAACAAACACATTGAACTTCTAAGTATGTTATTAAACAAGGTTTGCTTCTCGAAACAAACACCACAAAGCAGTATTAACTCTACAGCCAGCAGAACAGTATTAACACCACAGAGCACAGCATATACATCCAGCAGCATCATACAACACATTGTACAATACGTTGTACCAGCTGATGGTAGTACTGTTGCATTTCATAAAGAAATGGACATAAATGTAGCTGTAGTTGATCTATGGATTTTAGTGGTTGTTATTAAGGTAATATTGTTGAAGTTAAATGACATTTGTTTATACAACAAAGAACTGTTATGATATTGAGGACTCAAAAAAGTTGAAACAAACTCAGTGTCCTTCGTACATCATATATTGAGGATGCATTTAAAAGTAGTATATCAAGGTTGCATTTGAAAGTAGTATCATCTTTCGAATATAAAAAAAGAGGACTTTTTGTCCTTTCCTGTAAAATCCACCCAGACAGTTTCTCTTACTTCAAAAAGAGGACATGTTCAGAGAAAAGAGGATGTAGGGTAACCCTAAAACAGGAAATATTGCAATGACTGTTTTGAAAGACAGAAAAATGAGCCAAAGAAATTATAGAAGCATTTAAAAGACATTGTATAAAGTAGAAACAAAACAAATAAAATACGTCATATATGGGGAAGAATATGTATTTATCTCAGATGAAGTGACACATAAACTGAACCAATATTTTGTCAGCAGTGTGAATGAAATAGTTGAAAATAGACTTGTTGTAAATGTCTATGAACTAGAAAGGAAAGCAAATGATGGTAAACTATGAGCTTAATCAGTATCTATACTATTCTTAATATCTATATTATTATATTAATACTAATATAGTCTATATATATATATATATATTATATATATATAACTATATATATATATAATATTATATATAGTTATATATATATATATGGAAGTATGGTCTATTGACAGAACATCAATCAGGTTTTAGGAAACAGCGTGGCACAGAGTCAACATAGCAATTAGTAATAGAGGTTTGGTAAAGGGTGATTGACAAAGGAGAGTAAAGTTGCCATCTCTTCGGGTTTCACCCGGAGACTTCAGGTTTCATGACCAATCTCCGAGCTCTGGGTTTACTACTTTCATCTCCATGTCATGCACAATATTGAATGTATTACATGTTCAAATGTTTCTAATTCTTAGATTTCAAGGATTTGCACGCATTTTCTATATTTTTAATTTTTTATTTTTATTAAATATTGTTTTACTTAATGAGATTCATAGAAATAAATAAAAATTGTTGGTGTTTTTTTATAAATTACAAATACAAATATTAAATGAATTTACATATTGCTACACATTTTACTGGCTCACTATAGACACAGCTCTTTAATACGACAAAAGTTATAAGAAATTAGTTTAATTTCATAAATAACTAATAAGTCATAAATACTAATGTTATTTGTTTAAATATTATTTAATTATTGTAATACATCATTTTATACATGTAATGTCAGAAACAATTAAACTTCTGGAGGCAAAAATTCTATTAAGTTCAGATGTACACGAAATTATGGTAGCATTAAGAGGAACTAAAAGCAAGATTGAGAGATAAGTAATTCGACAGTAAAGTTAAATTAACTTTTCGTAAACTTGACAGAAACAGTATATTAAAATTCGAAAAAGAAGCAACAAAGGTTTACACTAAGGCAATTGCTTATCTAGAAAAATGGTACAATTATGATCCCTTTCAGTATTTTAATATTCTCAATTTGAAGAAAGGTGAAGAGATTTGCTTTGACAAATTTGTACAAGTTGCGGGAATAGTAAATGCAAATATTAACGAAGATAATTTGTACAATGAAATACAAGTGGTATCAAAAACTCCAAAAATGGAAATTCAAGACTATACGACAGACATTATATGGGTCAAAACTTTTTCTGCATCAGGTTTTTTTAGAGAACTACCCAAAATTGTTAGCAGGGTTTAGTCCATTCCCGTAAGTAATGCTTACATAAAACAAATTTTCTCAATTATGGGAAACAATTGGTCCGATTTGAGAAACAGGATGAGAGTCAAATTGGTCAAAGCAGAACTCTTTACGAAACTAAACTATGATATGTCTTGAGCCGAATTTCACAAATTCATAAACAATGCTTACTAATGAAAGCTGTTTCAAATGTGAAATATACTTGGAAGAAAAGTTAGTTTTTAAAAATAAATATTACAGAAAAATTATATAGAGATTCTATTTTTAATGTAATCATTTATTATTTGTTTTATAGATTGTTGACTATGGAAATGTAATTTATTTGATTGTTTCTAAACTAATAAATTAAAAAAGGCGTAAATGTTAAATAAATCATACCCCCCCCCCGCAATCTCCGGGAGAGTATGTGTCAACTCTAGAGGAGAGGGTGTAGGAAAGGGTAGCAAAGTTCTTGAATTATAAAAGAGCTCCTGAAACAATAAACCAAAATTTACTACTGAAGAAACTACAAGATGTTTACAGTATTACTAATCTTGTTATGAATGGATAGACAATTATTTAAACGAAAGATATCAGACTGTTTTTGTTTAATACTGGTATGTCTGAGGAGAAAGAAGTGAAGCATATTGTTCCCCAAGAAAGTCAATTAGGACCACTGCTATATACATTTATTGTATACAAATGAATTACCTGGGGTGCTCGAACAACATAAGGTACATATGTTTGCATATAATATACATAAATTTATTCAAGTGGAAAAGACATACAAATTATTAATTATTAATATAATAAATAAAGAATTACTTTTGGTACGTAAAGCAAGTGTTAATGTTAAGAAAACAAAGTGTATGGTACTGGAAATAACTGGTTTCAGACACTTGGGCTTATGGGTTCAGATTTGGAGTGGATTAAGAATTACAAATACCTAGGAGTGATTAATGATAATGATTTAAATTAAGAGGACCATATTGAATACATAAACAACAAATTAGCAAAGAAAGTTAATTTGTTATACAAACTAAGAATAATTATTTCAAAAAAAGGAAAGGAGGGTTAAGGTTATTAATGTTAATTTTGGTACTTTTAAGTACTGTTCTACAGTTCTAACTATGGCAAATAAAAGAAAATAGCAAGTTTTCAATGAAACTTTAACAGAGGAATGGAATGAGAACAGTATTAAATTAAAGGTTTAGTGAAAACATCATTTCAACGTTATAAGAAATACACTATTTATCAATAGAAAATGAGGTGGAAAGGAATGTGTTAACGTTTATCTGTACATAGGAAAATTAATTGCTTCCAGAATATTTAGAATATTTAGTAACAAAAACCTAGATGTACACAATTATTCAACTAGATAATCAAATAAATTCCAGCAAAAAAATGTAAATGGCAGTAAGTCATTAAACACAGTATTCAATAAGAGACTTGTATTATAAAATGAAGTACCACAAGAAATAGAACAATTAGGATCAGTTAAATGATTTAGAGAAAAGATGGGTTTTATGGCTGGATTACAATAGATATGAAATTATAAGGGAATAATTATGGTGATGTTGAATAATTATTCTATAAGTACAAGAATCTCAAAAATTTGTTTGTAATAAAAATGTCTAAATATTGGTTACTGTTAAAATCTATAAACAGCTGTCTGTTAATGTTAAAATTGTATTTGTATATTTTATTAGCCTTAGCCTATTTGTCAATAAATAAAATTAAACACAATATAATAAAATAAAACAGCTCATCTACAATAGGCCTACTTTCCGAAAGAAAATTTACAATCAACCTAGGCTTAATAATTTATGAAAACATTTTACTCAGTGGTGAGAAATCCAAAACTGTAAAAACACCAGTCTCTGAACTTGTGGGTTAATTTTTGCAATAAAAGAAATAAAGAGGCCACTGAAACACCCTCAAAAGTGCAATTTCATGAAAAACAATTAAATTTTAACTAAAATACACTCACCTTCCACATAGTTGATTTAACAAATAAGAGCATATTTAATAACTTTATTTCACGTTTACAATTCTTTTCTCTCACAAAGAAAAGATCAATAAGCTTCACCCCAACTTCTTGGCCCATTTCAGCTAACCTATAATTTTAAAGAAGAATTGGCTTATAATTATTCTCATTTTACACAATTTATTATTAACATTATTTCACATACTTATTTTGAAGTTCGGGTACAGTATATACTCGATTTTGACAATACTGCACTAATTCCGAGAAAAGTAAAGCATAGCAGCTCAAACTAACTTCTCCTCGGCCGCGACTTAACGATTTATCAAGAATACTAGTTCTAGGACGAACAGCCGAAATTGTCATGCTCATGATGAACTAATTTTATGATATATTTATGCCAATTACTCCAAAGAACGTTTCTTTTAATAACAGCACATTACAAATTACCAGCTACAAGAAAAACTTCCCTATTGAAACGTCAGACTCAGAATTTGACACTTCCAAACAAAGATGGGCAATCCAATCAGCTCACGAGCCACTCAAATGAGCCGGTTCATCTCAAAGAACAGTACAGAACTGCTTTTTCAATGAACCGAAGCTATAGTCCTACCATAAGAGGAGGTATTTTCATAGAGAGATACAACAGTACTCTACTCTATGGGTATTGTGATCTAATATGGGTCCTAACAGCGCCCTCCGGAATACATATGCACTCTGTAAGATTTCTTACGCCGTGGACCTATCGCTGCATCGTGGAACAATTCCACGGCTGCATCTATTCATCCAGGCGCGGATCCACGGGGATCCACGAAATTTCCTCTCCAGTAAAATGTTTCAGTAATTGTTAATTTTAACTTCTCACTAAACTTTCAAACTAAAACATTTTCAGATAATCATTAACACTAATCAAATCGTATCGCAGCATGAGCTGAGTGAAACCTGTGAAATTTTACAAATTCTGTAATGACTCATTCGACCAACACATTTTTAATTTCCCCTCCCCAAATTTGTTTCTGGATCCGCCCCTGATTCATCCCTGGCTGCCCCTCTTTCGCCATGTCCTTGTAAAGGGGCTTATTACATCGGTCTTCATTTTAAATTGCAACCCATATCCGAGACAGTAATCTCAACATTACACCAGAAGCGGATTAACAATTTTATCATCTGTAGGCATGCAACAATAGCCGATTGTGTTTTTCAAACACCCTAAATAAGGGGAAAAGTTGTATTCAATGACAATTGTAATTTATGTTGCTGGACATACGTGTTTATGACTGAAATTAAATATAATTTAATCAGGAATTTATGCTTGTTGAATATTTTCAATTAAATTAATTTAATTGTTTAATTTGGAATTGTTTAATTGGATATTATATATAATTTATGTATTTTGATGTATAAAATAACAAATTCATTATGCTTTTTGTAATTATCCATATTTATTATTCGAACGTTGCTCTACCTGCAATTCTTAAAATTGCTTAGATGTCTACATTTAACACTAAAAACTTTAAACGAAATAAGACAGCTTCAAACAGATTATCAAAATGACATATATTTAAATACGTATAATTTCGAAAATTTATATCGATGTAATATGTAGACTCCGTTTCGGTAATTGTAATTAAATCTTTACTGTTTGACTTCTGAAAATGTAATCATCGCTCATTTTGACTTATCACAAGTTATATGGCAAAAGGTATCATCAGCCTGGTAATAAGTTAATTTTTGAGTACAATTTTTGCGCCCCCTTAAATTTTGCCGCCGTAGGTACCTGCCTCCTGTGCCTATGCGTAAATCCGACCCTGACTAGAGCTCACTGGTCTGGGAGCACTTGTTCTTGTTTTGGCAATTTGGCAACCGCGTGACTTTGCCTTTTTCAAGGCAACATTGGCTGTCACATCAACACAGCAGAGAGTGACCTTCAGGTAAGAAGCTGCAGGAACTTTCCTATTTCTATGTATTTCCCAGAGGCAGCTCGTGTTTACTTTGGACGATTGCACAATCCCAGACAAAAGAAAAAGATCATATAATATCGTAGGAATATACAATTTCCTTTTCATGATATTCAATATTCAAAGTATTGCAGCAATATCGACGTATAATGGACTCATTTTTAAACCAAAGAGCTTTTCGTGACGCAACCAAATGGGTGGTGGGTCTTGTAGCCGAGTGCTCTGGAACTCAGCGCGGGGTCCGGGGTAATCCGAGAGGAATACCAATATTCTGTCTTCATCTGACGCTAGCTGCAACTTAATTCTATGAATTTCGCGTGTTATTGAAAGTAAACAAGTTCAGTCAATTATTGACGGTATTTAATGAATTGTTTATGATATTTTAAGAATTCGGTCTCATTTGATATTAGGTTTGTTTAATCAAAACGAGCATTTGATGACTTTTCTATGTAAAAATGGCCGTTCTGAATGGAAGTCCATTTGTGTCTGGATTGAAGTCTCCAACTGGCCAGCACTTTGCGAGCGTTCTTGTGAATACGAATTTGTGTAGAAGATTATTCATCCTTGCAATGTACCACAGGGTAGTAAAGTTTTCGAAATAAAATCAATTTATTTGTATATAAAACGTATCCAAAAGTTGTTTGACCCAGCCCTGCCTTGCGTTGTGTTGAGTGAACTGCACTTATTGGTTTAATTGCAAGCAGTGTCGAATTCCTTGTGATAGTTGTACACGGTGCAGGCTGCGTTTCATTTAGAAATCAGTGTCATTTAGAA